TCACAGGGTGTCTGTTGTGGGGAGGGGAAGAGAAAGGAGTTTGTAAGCCGCTCTGAGACTCTTTAGAGTAGTGAAGGGTGAGGTATAAATACAATTTCTTCTCCTTCTTCTTCTTCCTCCCCCCTCCCTCGCTGTTGTTTCAGATGTGGACACTATCCGTGAAGAAAGAAGCTACGTTCCCTGAGGCGGAAGGAGCTTCCTTGGAGCAAGGGCAGAGTGCGCAGGCCGTGGAGCGTGCCCAGGATGCCCTCTCCGGTGGTAAGGACTCTTCGTGCCTCGATACGATGAATTTGGTGGGTAGAGAGCTCAGTTCAGGAAAAGAATTAAACACTTCTTCACACAACACAGGGTTAATTTGCGGCACTCAGTGTCCACTAACTGTGAGGCCTCTCAAAGGAGGTTAGACCCATTCATGGAGGGCAATTCCATTAATTTAAGTATTCACATCTCACCTTCCTTCCATAAGAGGAACTCAAGGTGGCTCAAAAGAGAAAAGGTAGACAAACCTCTGCAGAGCTCTTCAGCCTGGTGGATAAAGGGATCCTCCACCTTCTGGGGCAGCAGAGCTCTTGAAAACCAGTTCCTGGTAAAATCTGGCTTCTCTGCCCATCCTTGAAAGGGCGTCTGGCAGGCTGCTGGGGGGGGAAACAGGATGCTGGAGTAGGGCAGGCGGGCTACGGCCCAGCACCCCCCAAGAGCACTGAGGAGGGGCTTTGGGGCAGATGTGGTGTCCTGTTGATGTTTCATCTGGCTAGAAAGCCGGTTGTGAAGTCAGCATGTCAAGAGACACTCTGAAAACTCATTCCTAGGACCCTCGAGTCTCCAAATGCGCTCAAGTCATGCCTGGGCCGTATGTGACGGTGAAAGGTCATGTGATGTCATTTCCACACCCTCCAATCCCAGAGGCTGATACGTACCTGGTGCTTCCCTTCTGCCTCTCCCTGATTTTAGTATAAAATGTGTTTTACGCAGGGCGAGGTTTCACAACCCTGGGAAGGGGTCTGTGTGAAACAGGGAACAAGCAAGCAAACATCCGTCTTTCCTCTTTTGTCTCAGGAGCAGGCAGGGAAGAGATGCCGTTGAGCCATCGTCTTCTCAGAGGTGTGGAAACGGCTGCCGCCCCTCCAGTCCAGGTAGGGGAGATGAGCAGGGGGAGGGGGACAGCCTGGGTCCCTCCTCAGGGGGGCTTTTGCTCCTGCAGTTTCTACAAGGTGTCTGGGCAAGAGATCCATCCCAAGCCTGACATCCTTTCCCTTCCCAGACTACTCCCTTCCCGTGGACAATCTCTGCCTGGTGTGATTTCTGACGAGGGAATCTGCTTTTCCTTCCAGGGCCCCTTTTCCTTTGAGGAGGTGTGTGTCTCTTTCACGGAGGCAGAGTGGGCCCTGCTGGATCCGGGACAAAGAGCTCTGTACAGGGAAGTCATGCGGGAGAACTACGGGAATGTGGCCTTTCTGGGTAAGGATCTTTCATAGGTGCCAAAGGTGCAAATTGCTGCCATTGTGAGGAGGCATGAATCAAAATATTAAATAGCAATACACTGTTTTGGGGGCTGTCCCACTCCTTGGAGGGGGGCTGTGGCTCACTGGCAAAGCATCTGCTTGGCATGCAGAAGATCCCAGGTTCAATCCCCGGTATGTCCAGTTCAGAGGATCAGGTAGGAGGTGATGGGAAAGACCTCTGCCTGAGACCCTGGAGAGAGAGCTGCTGCCGGACTGAGTGGACAGCGCTGACTTCGATGGACCAAGGGTCTGATTCAGTAGATGGGATTACAAACATCCGCTCTGCCTGTGATCTGGAAATGATCCCGTCAAGAACCGAAGCCTGGGTCCCCCCGGGTCACTCCTCTTTGTACTTGAGGGCAGCACCCAGTTCAGTGGGTTCACGGGGAGAGGGCACACAAGAAAAGCAGACCCCTTTTAAAATAGATATAAAGGTTTATTAAGGATTTAAAACTAAGATATTAAGTATTCCAGCTGTAGCCTAATTAATTCTATATAAATGTATTCATCGTGATGAAGCAAGAAAATATGAAGGCATACTAGGACGGCGTGAGCATACAACTAGCTCTATACCCATATTGCACTTTCTGCCTCTCTAGG